ATTCAGCTTTGATGGATAATCGTTCTTCTCTGAGGGAAAAGTATAATTAATAAAAGTAATACCATGTTAATGCACTTTACTTACTTCCAAAGACTTTCATCGCAGCCTTTGTGAGTGCGGCAAACACTGCAGCCACTTTTGGTGTGGCTCTGGGTCTTGCCAATGTGCCCACAGTTGCTGCAAATGGATTTGTCGTCCACTCGGATCTCCAGAGCATTGTATTTATTGGTTTCCCCTCGCCATTTTCTCAGCCTAAAAAGAGAGTGGGCTGTACAGTTTAGAATATGGGTTCCTTATCGACTAGATTACTTGTCCAGAATCTCCGTCTCCTTGTACTTGTTGAAGAGCTTCAAGACGCCATCCTTTCCAATTCCACCGATGCCATCGGGGCAATAGTCGCAGCCACAGAGCAAAGCCATCACAATGATCTTGTGCTGACCAAAGTCCATTCGGGATTTGATCTCCCGCATGTCGTAGATGTCCACAGCTCCACCGGCTGCAGCCTGAGCTCCTTGTGTGGAAACCGAGAAGTTGCGATAGACCCGAATCGCTCCATAGGCAAAGCAATCCGAATCCTGGCTGATGACGCCGTCAACTAACTTAGGATACCGGGTTTACTGGATTATTTTAAAGGGAAATACGCGAAAATATCCATAAACTCACCCCATGCTTGTTAAGGAAGGCGCAGTAAGCCTCTGCCTCGCCAGGACCTTGGACGCACTGGATTCCCATGGAGAGCAGAAGCGTTTCGCACTGCTTGAGGACATGGTTGAACCGGGAGCGTCCTTTGTCACCTTTGGGAGGCTGGTTCTGGCCGCACTCGGGGGAGTTCTTGGGTTTTACCCCACGAAATTGGAGCTCATTCCTTTTGGCTATTACCTGACTCTTGAGTTTCGGAGCCACTCCCTCCAAAACGAAGACCGGAGTGACCTGTTCCCAAATCAAATAGCAGGTGCGAAAGAAGAGGTTTCTGTGGAGGAATATGTTTAAATCTATATAAACATGATGAAGTACTTATTAAACCCACTTTAAGTGATGCCTGGGATGCACAAAGTAGTCCACAACATTCAGGGATTCGCACACCCAGCCGGCCAGATCAATGGCCACTTTCTTCCCACGCAGTTCGTTTATAGGTTTACGTTCACAATGGGGAGTAAGAACTCCCCACAATTCTTTGACACCCATTAAATTAAATCATTAAAACAAAAGCCGCGAAAAATTCGCTAAAATTCAAACCTCTATCTTCTTCTTCAGTGATGCCAGTTCAGCTACTTTCAGTAAGTTTTGACTCTTTTAATAGCCGTTAGCTAGAAGCTGACGAAAGATGCGGGTGCTTAAAATGTTGGCTATTCTTTTAAATATTTTGTTTCCTGTAAATCATATTCAAATTAAGCATTAAGCATGTTTTTCATAAGTAATTGTAAACAAATCAGAGACAGATTTGCTATCTTTATTTTATTAGTAGCTATTTTAAAATTCACATCTAGCTAGATTTGACAGCACTACTGCTCTCCCGCCAACTGCCAGTCACCACGAACCGCCGTCGATGACCGATAACAGGCTTTGTTTTGACAGCTGCACACGCGCCCGCTGCGAATGGCCAGTGGTCAGCAGGCTCTTCCTCTTCCACATCGACGTGTCAGGCGAAAGAAAGTCCAAAAAATATACAATTTAAGCTGCTGCTTTGCGCCTAGCCCCGACAAAATTCACAAGCTGCCAGTAGTCCGCACGCCGCACCACACACAACTACCACCGGCAAGATGGTTCTCGCGGATTTGGGTCGCAAGATAACCACGGCGCTGCACTCGCTCAGCAAGGCGACCGTCATCAATGAGGAGGCTCTAAATTCGATGCTCAAGGAGATTTGCGCGGCGCTCCTGGAGGCGGATGTAAATATCCGGCTGGTAAAGCAGCTGCGCGAGAATGTCCGTGCCGTCATCGATTTCGATGAGATGGCCGGCGGACTGAACAAACGTCGCATGATCCAGTCGGCGGTCTTCAAGGAGCTGGTCAAGCTGGTCGATCCCGGCGTGAAACCCTATCAGCCCATCAAGGGAAAGGCGAACGTGGTCATGTTTGTGGGCCTCCAGGGTTCCGGCAAGACCACCACCTGCACCAAGCTGGCCTATCACTACCAGAAGCGCAACTGGAAGTCCTGCCTCGTGTGCGCCGATACCTTCCGTGCCGGAGCCTACGATCAGATCAAGCAGAACGCCACCAAGGCACGCATTCCATTCTATGGCAGTTACACCGAAATCGATCCTGTGGTCATTGCCCAGGAGGGTGTCGATATGTTCAAGCGCGAGGGTTTCGAGATGATCATCGTGGATACCTCGGGTCGGCACAAGCAGGAGGAATCGCTGTTCGAGGAGATGTTGGCAGTGTCCAATGCCGTCAGTCCCGACAACATCATTTTCGTGATGGACGCCACCATCGGACAGGCTTGTGAGGCTCAGGCAAAGGCCTTCAAGGACAAGGTGGACATCGGTTCGGTGATCATCACCAAGTTGGATGGCCATGCCAAGGGAGGCGGTGCCTTGTCCGCCGTGGCGGCCACTCAGTCGCCCATCATCTTCATCGGCACGGGCGAGCACATCGACGATCTGGAGCCCTTCAAGACGAAACCCTTCGTGAGCAAGCTGCTCGGCATGGGCGACATCGAGGGACTGATAGATAAGGTGAGGTAGACACGTGGGCATAAAGTTATTATTGTGTCAAGAGGTATTGTCCATTGTCCTAGAAGTTTACTAGAAGTTTCTTTAGCTATTATATATTTTAGTTTGTAAGGTTTTCAGTATTATATTTAAATTTATCTTTTTTAAATGCACAACACGTACTGATTATATTAACCCTATTACAGGTAAACGAACTAAAGTTGGACGGCAACGACGAACTGTTGGAGAAAATCAAGCACGGTCATTTCACCATCCGCGACATGTACGAGCAGTTCCAGAACATCATGAAAATGGGCCCCTTCTCGCAGATCATGAACATGATTCCCGGTTTCTCACAGGACTTTATGACCAAGGGCGGCGAACAGGAATCGATGGCGCGCATCAAGCGCATGATGACAATGATGGACAGTATGTCGGACAACGAACTGGACAACCGAGACGGAGCGAAGCTTTTCAGTAAGCAGCCGAACCGCTGCATCCGCGTGGCCCAAGGCGCCGGAGTGCTGGAGCGCGAGGTCAAGGAATTGATTGCTCACTATACGAAATTCGCGGCAGTGGTGAAGAAGATGGGCGGCGTAAAGGGCCTGTTCAAGCAGGGTGACATGACCAAGAACGTCAATCCCACACAGATGGCCAAGCTCAATCAGCAGATGGCCAAGATGATCGACCCGCGGATGCTGCAACAGATGGGCGGCGTTGGTGGACTCCAGAACATGATGAGGCAACTGCAGCAGGGAGCGGCGGGCGGATTGGGTGGCCTGGGGAACCTGATGGGCGGCTTTGGCGGCAAGTGAGCTGGTGGCGTGTAAATTTAACGATTTTTATATGATTTTGTTTCCGCGTAGTTCGTAATTTGTTAGCCATTGTTTCCATTTGTCCAAGACCACAAAAATTGATATCCAATGTGGTAGCGAATATAGCGTATGTAACCTATATAGGCGTGCAAACAGTTAACAATTCGTTTTTTGTACGGCTTGGCAGTCACAGTGTCAGTTTTTATAGTTTAAACAGTTTTCTGTACACGAACTAATGGAATTAGCATGCCTATCAGAATACCCGTAAGGCAAATTGAACTAGATATAAACAATAAATAAATAATACATGAATTTGGGTTTATAATGGTTGTGTTTATTGGACTCTAAGGTAGGTCTATACAAAACCGTGTACTCAAAAATCAAAACAAATTATTTTGATAATGGGTAAATAAAAAAAATGATAGAAATAAATTGTTAAAGGACTAACAAGGTATGGAAAGCCAGGGCTTTTGGGGACGATGAACCGGATTTTGAGAGTTCATGACCTTATCGGTATCCCTGTCTTTCTTACACATACAACTAAAACAAAAAACAACAGGCGAACAGGTGCTCAGAAAACCCAAAAAGAAACCCATGCAGGCCAGAGAACCAAAATAAACAAACAAGCAAACGAATGTTAATGCTTTTATTGCTGTTTTTGGGGGAGGGTCTGAGCACATACACTCAAAGTGTGTGTATGCACTCAGAAAAAAAATAGAAGTTAAAAAAGTATCTCAAAATTCACTCTGGCTTTTGAATTTATATTATAATAGAAAATCAAAAGGTTAGTAGCATTTTATAACTTATTTTTTCTGAGTGTGTGTTTGGTAGTAAAACTTTTCGGCTGGGGCTTCCAGCATCCCTTGATTTTGTCCCGGAAGTTGTCGAACGGCTGGGTTTTTGTGGGGGTGCGACTTCCGCTTTCCTTTTCGCCCTGAAAACTCCATAATCCACCCACTTGCCGCCTTGCGATAACAATGAAATGGCGATTGCCTGCCATAAAAATGTCTATTAAGCTGTCAAAGTCTGACACTCATAAAACCATCAAACAAGTCAAAAGAACAGGATAGCAGGAAAACCAGCAGGACGAACTGCTGTCAACGTTTTTTGGGCTCATCCTTGCGGCTTCCACACCACGCACACATAGGCTCACTCACTAGGAGCTAAAGCGCTGAGGGAGGGCTTTCATATTCCTTGTGTCTCCAACAAAGGACTTTATTTTACGAGTTCGGCGGAGGGGAGGGGGTCGAAAAAGGATAGCCTCAGGGAGGAACTCATTACAAGCTCCCACACAAAAGCCTAAACATTTTACGAGCTCAAAGGTTTCGAGACCATAGCATCCACGGCAGGATAACCCTTACTCATAAGGGTGGACCCATCCCCAGGATGACATTTCCAGGAAAATGCGATTTCATCAAATTGAATCCCCGTCCCAACCTCCCCAAAGAATGAAAAATGCATTTGAGTTTTGTTTTCTTACAGAAAATCAATTTGTCTTTTATTGATTCAGAAAAAGTTCAGTTTCATTTGGTTTTTTTTTTGGGTTTTTGGATGACAGCATTTGCTCTTTAGGTTTTCCTTTTTCTTACCAAAGAGACGTTACGTTTTCTTCATGTTTTTTTTACTTTTGTGTTCTTCAACGCTTTCCACGTCCACAGTTTAAATCTTTTGCTATGTTCGGTTTAATGCCTTCTGTCGCTTTTAAATCGGGCCAGGTATTTTTCAACCTGCCCTCGCTTAGCTTCTTGCTTGATTCTCCCGCTTTCGGTTCTGTTCTATACTGATCTATTCTCATTTCTTTTTTACTTAAAACTAGATTTAATTTTTTTCTTCATTTACTTTCTGTTTTTTTTTTTTGGTTTTTTTTTTATTTTTCTTGTTCAACTAGTCTTAAGCGAAATAAGCACAAAAGCTGCAAAATGTTTTGCTTAAACTAATTTCTCATTTTTAAACGTTTTTCTTCATTTTTATTTTTTGGTTTTTTAACTATTATCTCTTGATCTCCAATTCGGTTTGCCTTCATGAACGATCTTTTGCATTAAAGTTGAGGGCACAAAAAGTACGCGTATAAATTTGAAAGTTGTAGCAAAGATTTCGCTTTCTCGCATTTTTTCTTGTCAATTGTCAGTTTTAGAGTTTTTGGTTTTCGTGTTCTTTTTTAGCTTTTACTAGAGATTTAAATACAATTCTTTCGCCATATAAAAATGCTTAAAAGCGTCACACATTGATGCAAAAAATAATACATTTAAAAAATACACAGAGAGTTGAAAAGGATTCCTCATGCTTTCGATCGATATTTCCTTCAGTTTCTTTTTTTTTTAATTCTGGAGGATTACAAAGAGAGATGTAGTTGTTTTTTGTTTCTTCTGATTTAATTTTACCAGTTTGCGCATTTGCTTGGCTTGATTTTTTTGTGGTTTTTGGTTTTTATCATTGTTAATAAGAAAATGAATAAAGTTCTTTAAAAGACTTTGATTTAAAACTTAAAAATAGCAACAAGCGAAATGTACATTACTCTCATTTAAGTATTTCTGTTTCTAAGTTTAATTAGCTGCTTGCATTTTACGTTTACTTAAAGTTAGTTTACGCCTTTGTCGTCGTGTTTTGTTCCTTTCCCTCACTTTCTCCCAGCTACTACTTTCCCTCCAACCACTCCATTCGAAACTTTCTTATTTATTTTTTAAATATAATGAGCTTGTTTTTCCCAACCATCCTGCCTGTCCCATCGATTTGCTAGCGTACATTTCCTCTGGCTCCGCGCTCTCTCACTTTTATGTGTTTTCATTTTGTTTTTCGGTTTTTTGTTTGTTTTGTTTATATTCTTGGTTTCGTCAAAAAAGTTTTCAAAAAAATATATATTCATCATTTCCTTAAATTGGCTTAATTAAAAAATGTTTATTTATTTCTCCCGCTCGCCTCTCACGTTCTGCTCTGCCCGCCCCTAAACAACGACTAAGACGACTAAGTTTGCCTCCTGTTTAAAACACAATTCAATTTATTGGGGGGAGTTCAATTAATTTAGGAGTTCGTATTGGAAACTATTTGGTGTGGGGGTGAATAAGCTTACTGGTAATTCATATCGCAAACATTTTACTACTAAGAAATCACATCGAAGGTTAACGCAAAACGAAACGAAGAAAAACGCACTCAAAACCAAAGGTATTTATTTATTTTTGTTTTTTTTTAAGTTTTTATTGAAATTTTTGTTGTTTTTAGTTTTCAATTTTACGCACTAGACATTTTTTTGTTTGCATTTTAAAAATTACTTCAACACTTGCATCAAATTTAATCGATTCGCTCCTCGTGGTAGAGGTTCTCATTCAATCAGGGGCGAGATACCCAAGCAATCTTGAATCTTGGTTAGGGTCTCGGCGATTTTAAGACAAATAATAAATTAACTACTTAAAATTAGTTAAAAAACTAAAGTAAAACGCATTAAATTAAAACAAAATACAGACGCAAAACAAACGAGTTCCAAGTTTGGTTTCTTGTCAAAGTAGATTTAAATACACACACAAAAAGTCAGTATAGCTTTAGATTAGAACACTCCTCGTCGGTTGATTTTATTGTTTACCCTCTCCAACGTCCTTGCTTTTATCCTTTCATTCTTTATCTTTTATTTCTGTTTTTCATTTTTCAAAAATTAAACCTAACCTCAAACTGTGCGACTCGGCGTTTTCCAACACTGTCGCTCTAACTACACAAAAACTACAACTTTCTACGTGTGTTGCCTCCAACTAACCAACTATTCTTTCTCCTTTCGCTACCAACTAGAAATCATATGTCCTACTCGTCTCCGTCTTTCTTGCTACTGTTCTTGCCTCGCTCTACGCTACTCGTTTCCGCATCTGCGTTCTTCTTTGCTTGTCAACACTGTACTTAGATTCTCTAGACTTACGCACTAGGCTTTGATCTTACATACTAGGTTTCTTCTCCCGCCTTCTCGACTCCATTTCATTCCCGTTCTCTAAAACATAAATTTCATTTTCACTTTCCTAGGGAGGGGGCGATAAGACACGCCCCCAGCTCTTCTCGTTTCTTCCGTTGATTTATAAATAACTTAGAGTTTAATGCTTTCTCAATTTGCTTAAGTGGTTTTTTTGCTGCTAACAAAGTAAAATCAATGAAAACTACAGAAAGAAAATTGCACTTTGTGTGAGAGTTTTTTTTTTGGGGAGGTGTATGCGTGTGCGTGGGCGTGTGTTTTGTAGTAGTAGTTGTATCGAGGAAAACAGGATTGAAAATCTTTCAAAAATATCCTCCCAATGAGTGGTTCTTGTATTTGTGATTCTTCTTGTATAGGACAACAAATGCAGGCATCTCGCGTGAATTTTTCTCTTTAAACAATTTCGCTCTGTTGGCTTTTTCGCTTTTGGAATGTCTTGGCAAAATATAAATATTTCTCCGATGCCTGCATTATTAACTTTAGGAGGTGAGTCTAGGTGTATAAACGTTTCATTTTTAGGGTTTACAATCCTGCATTTGTTGTTATTGTTACAGTTTCAGTTCGTAGTCAGTCTAAAGCAAATAATCGTAATATGACAAAAATGAAAAAAAAAATATTTGCATTTTGTTGTTGTTTTGGTTTTAGGCTTAGGAAGACTTTTGGCGTTGTGTTTCTTACGTTTTTATATATGTATATATATATATATATATATAATGTATATATATGTAGATAGTTCAGTTAGGCGACTCGACAACTCTAAACTCGAAAATCAAATCATCGTATCAACGCATACATATATATATCAAAATCAAATCAAAGACTTTGCTCAGGAATGTTGTTTGTGGTGTGTGAGGGTGTCCTTGCTTAAAACAGAGATTCTCAAAAACGTGTCTCTCTCTCTTTCTCTTTTCTCATCGCCAAACTTTCTCCCACCCACAGCCGCCCACTTGATGTTTCCCTTGTTTCTCTTATTTTGCTCATCGTGTTTCGTTAATCAATTAACATTCGAAAAAATCACAAATACAATGCTTAGGCTTGATAGGTGTTGTGTCCTTGTCGGTGTTTGTGTGTCAGTGTGTGTGTTTGTTTGTGTCAGTGTGTGTGTGTGTGTCTCGGAAAAATAAATATGCTAGGCTTTGAAAAAGGTTAAATTTCAATTCTAAACTCCGACCTCCGTTCTTCAACTCTACTTAAGAGACGCTTACAAGACTAAAGAAATCTTCGCTTATTTACTAGGGTTACTAAACGTAGTTCTCTTCTGTCTTAATTCATAATTTTGTTTTCATTTTTAAATTTAACATTAATTTTCTTGGTTTTTTGTTATACATTTCTGCTACTGCCTGTGCCAGTTGTTGCTGCTGCTGCTGTTGTTCTTGTTGTTCTTTTCGATCCTTGCTGATCCTTCAAAAATTACATTCTTCGCCGGCCTTTCTTCACAAAGCTAAACTACAATTCTACAGTTTCAAATTTTATTTTCTTTTTCTGTGTTTTGCTACTTTTGTGTGTTCGTCTCTCGGTTTGTTTCGCTATTCCCTTTTAAAAAGTGTTTGCCTCTTGGTTTCCATGCTAATCAAACTCCATTCTTCTCGCTGTCTTCTCTGCTTTCTGCTGCTCAACAACTTGTCATCTGCAGAAAAAATATACTATATCTAGGTTGTTTTTGTTGGTTTTACTTTCTTTTCATTAATATGTCTAAAAAACAGTTAACGTAAAAAACTGTAGACAGCTACAAAAAATTCATTCATTAAATCGACTGATGAGCACAAAAAATATGCTAAAAACTAGTACAAGATTTTCCCTTCTTCTCTCGGTCTTCGTAAGCTTTTGCTTATTCTCCCCGTCTTCTGCTTTCTTTTAGATCTATAGAACTACTAAATCTGTTTTTTGCTTACTGCAATTTTCTTATTTTTGTTTTGCTAAGACTTAATACTAGGTTTTTGCCCGCTTCAAAGGCTTTTTCTTCTCATTTCATTTGTTTTAATTTATTTTTCTTCTTTTTGACTGCTTGGATAGCACAAAACGAATGTCAAAAAGGGGGAATTAGACATTTCTTTTTTGCTTTTCTTTAGGTTTTGTTTTGTTTTTTTTCGGATCTTTGCTTTATACAATTTGCATGTTTGGTTCAAGAAACCAACAAAAGGAGAAAACAAACCAAAGATCTCCATTCTTTTTTGTGGCTATCTACGCTTTCCTCTGCTTCCGTTCTTTGTGCTGTTCAACACGTTTCAACAAAAATACAAAATAAATATTACAAATTAGACAAACAGAACAAAACAAAGGTAGAGTCTGAGTTTCATCGTAAAAATCTTCTTTAGCAGGCCACAACAAAGAAAACGTTGCCGCTAAGGTAAAAAAGTTTCGCTTTCTTCCGCACATTCTTGCGCTTTCTTCGTTCTTCTGGGGGTTTCTTTGTTGCCGCTGCACTTTGACTTAAGAGTTATGCATTGTTTATATCATCTTCATCGAAATGGGTTTTGTTTCGGTTTTTATTTGCTCTGTTTTTTTCTTTACGGTTCTTTAACATACATTGCACACACATTTATTTTTGTTTTTCTGTTTCGGTTTTTCTCTGCTTTCACTTCACAAATTTTCTGTCTGCTTAGGTTTTGCTAGCTCAAAATTAGCAAAATAGTTTATTCTTATTTCTTCTCTTCTATTTTTACATCGCTCTTCCCATCGGTTTTCCCCCATGCAATTGTTTTTCCTCTTGCGCTTAACAAAATTAACTTAACTCTAATCTGCGATGGTTTTTCTTTTTGCTCAGCAGATTTCCTCAAGTTCTGACGACCCCCAAGTGAGTTTCCTTTGACTTTGCTTTCTTCTCGCATCCTGCAGTTCTCTTTTTGTAAATATTTTCGACTGCTCTTCTCTCGTTTGCCGCTGTTGTTTGGCAATTGTTGCCGTTCTGCTGTTGCATCTCTGGTTGTTTATTTAGTGTATAACTATTCTCTATTATTTAAGTTTAGTCTTTGCTTTTCTTCACTTTTTACTCGCGTCTTCTGCGCTCGTCTCTTCGGAGACCGGCTTTTCCCTACGCATCGCTTACATTGTATTCATGTATCCCCTAAACTTCATCCTCACATCCAACCTCCTTATTTTATACATTATTTTTTTCTCTGCCTCAGCTTTCTGGGATTCCCCCTTCTTTTTTTTGGGGGGATGGCTTTTCTCTAGATTTATTTTCGTGAACTGCATGCTGTGTTTCCGATTCTTTTGCCGATGTTGTTGTTTCAGTAGTTTCTTCTAGTTCTTGTTCGTGTGGTGGTTGTTGTAGACTCCTTTATCCGATCCGCTGCTTTTAATGTTTCTCCTCTTGATTCTCCATCCTCCTTGGCTTTTCCGCTTCCACCTGGCATGCTCTCACTCTCGTCTAATTTATATAGTACTCAAATGGGGTACTAATATATTATAGCTAGAAGAATACAAGTTCGAATTAGTGGCTATGTCTTTAAAAATCATTAATCTCAGGAAATGGATTGGGTCTAGGGGTTCATTTTTTATCTCCTCTTATAGTTCAGGAAAATGTTTAAAGTCGGGTCACATGCAAGTGATTTGAATGAACCATGAATGATATTTACCTAGTATGGATTACCAGAGATTAGACTGCTTAGTAACTATACTATTTAAGAAATAGAGCCATGTTGTTGTTTTTAAAAGAAGCCGCCGAAAGTTGTAAAGAAAATAAGTAAGTAGAATTGATTTGTTTAGTATTCAGTGGAGTGGTTGAAAAATATTGTGAATGAACAGATCTGAAGCAAACAGGCAAGCAACAACAAGCAGAGCACACAAAACACATGAAGCCGTTGATTGTCAGTGTATGTGTGTTGTTTGACGATGCAGTGTTGGTAAGTGTGTTTAAGTGTTTATAGAAAAGTTGAATCCTTGAGGGTTAAGGTTAAAGGAAAGCTCAAGTGAAAGCAAATGAAATTGGGTGAGTGAGATGATTGTTTTGGGACTTCAAATGGGACTCTAGAAGCAAAGAGCGCACATGCAAAACAGTGTTGGTAAGCGGTTAGTTCTACAACGTATAAAATAAAAATTGGTCAATAACGTTGAACTTTAACCTTATTTTTCAATTTATAATAATTTTTTTTTGTTGTTTGAGAACATTTTCAGGATGGAACATAATTTTTCAGATTTAAAAAACTTATTCTTTAAAAATACGGTTTAAGATGGGGAAATTTTAATTTGAAGGATCTTTGATGAGTGCTTCATGGGGGCCAGAGATTGAATGGCAGACAGAGATTTTGGAGCAGTGGACATAGAGTCTGTGACACAGAGACAGGAACAGGAATAGAGAGAGAAGACAGTGGCTGAGAAGACTTCACTCACCTCGCGAAGACCTATTTGGGAGCGGCTTGATGTGGATACTGTGTGTATGCCTCGTCGGGTGATGCAGCTGTGCTAGCCTGTTCGGAATCTGTCATTGGCATTGTTGGTATAATAGTTGGTGGTGGTGCATAATATGGATAAGTTGGACTAATATACTGTAACGATGGAGAAAAGTTCTATAAAAGAAAACGAAGAAACGAAAAATAAAACAAAAATAAATCCAAACAAAAAATTAAATCGAAAGCAATAGGAAATTGATTGGAGTAAAAGAAAGGAATAGAAAGAGTACAAATTAGGTATCAACTTTCAAGATTAAACACACGCAGCTCACACTGAGAAGATAGTACAGTTACGAATCTTCACAGTGCTACAGAGCTAAAAACTCTTTTTCTTTCTTTTCAATCCAGTAGGATTTCAGCAGACATGCATATGTGATTTGGACTCTATCCATGTGCATGTCTGCTCTTAAGCGAAGAAACTCGAAAGAAAGAACTTCGAGTTTCGGGTGGAGATCAGAGATCGGTGGCTTACAGAGTTGCCAATCTGCAGGGTGGCCAACTGGGGCATCATCGTTCCATATGGCACGCCCGTATCGCCGCTAACCATCATCGAGATGCCACGGGGCTGCACCTGGTTCACAGCCTCCGGTTTGTATGAGGTCACACCCAGCTGTGGGGCGGCTGCCATCTGCATGTACTGTGAAGAGAAATCAGTCGGTTGAGTAAATGTTAAAGGTTAAGAAAAAACCCACATGACACTGGACTAAAACAGAAATAAGCCAAATAAATATTCAAATTAAATGCTGAATATGAAATAGTTACAAAAAACATGCGAAGTTTATTTGAATCCTAAAGCATTACTAATTTAGTCCAGTGTCACATACCCATAATGGAAGTAACTCCACTACTCACCTGATCATCTACCTGAGTGATCGGCTGGGTCATCATGTAACCGGGTATCCACTGGGAGCCGGCCACTGGATAGCCACCCACCTGGGGGGCGCTGAATCGGGAGTAGGGCACTCCGATGGGCGTGCCCACGTTCACGCTAACGCCATTCTGCTGCATCGAGGGATCGTAGGCCACGGGAATCCCCTCCGCGGAGACGTCGCGCCACGCACGCGCATTCGGATCGGGAGTCTTGAAGAGATTCTTCTTTTTGGGTCCGCCATCGGCGAACTTCACCAGCAGGGGATCTTTGGCACCCGGTATTGTGTTACCATTGAACATCTGAATGATTTGCTCGCACTTCTCGCGACTCTCCATGCGGGCAAAGCCAACGCCTGGGGGAAAAATTTTAATAGTTATTATAGGGTCTTCAAGAAGAACTCTCAATTAGGGTTGCCACTTAAAAAAATTAGAATCGTCTTGAAGTCATGAATGAAATTCTCGTTTTTTATAACACAATATATAATATTATAATATATAACATAATATAATCGAAATCAATATTTTAAAAATTAAAAATTTAAGGATCTATAGTGGCAACCCTTTTCTAAATCTTTTCTACTCACCCTTGGAGTTCATCTGCTGATCACGCAATATTCTGGTCGAAACAACTTGTCCGTATTTCGATAGCATTGCCTCCAGATCAGTTTCTTTGAAGTGGGGCGGCAAATTTGCAATATACAAATTTGTGGGATCCTGTTCCTGTTGCTGTGTGGTTGTTGTATGCAATTGGGTCAGATCAGGGTGGTGTGGTGTTGTCGATTGTTGATTGTTGATTGGGTTGTTTGTTGAAATTGAATCGATTTAAATTGTTTTGTACGTTTTTGATGGTTGATTTTGTTGGTTTGTTTGTTTCGGTTTCACACAAATTAACGTTACACAAAAGCAGTTGGCGTAAGCATGTGTATTTTTATTGGTTGTGCGATGCATTTTGATGTGTGTGTGTGTGTTTGTTTGGTTGTGTGTATTGTGTTTGTGAAGTTGTGTTGTGTGTTTTGTTTTATATATATTTTTTTTATTTCAAGAGAGAGGGGAGTAGAGAAATTAAGAACGTAGAGATTTTGTCATTAGTAAATATTCAAGTTGCTTGCCAAAAATGTTTCTGTTGTCAACTCTTTTTGGACTGTTTGTCTGTTGTCAGTGTGTTAGTGTGAGTGTTAAGTGTGCCTGACTCTTGCGAAAGTGTCTGTGTGTGTGTGGATGTTATGTAATGCCTCAGACTTATCGGATTATACCTAATGCAAAAAGTAGACCTATGGAACTTTTACCCCCTTCAAGATGCAGTGTTTTTTCTTTTTTCCCTCACAGATGCTTAATAAAGATGGCAAAACACTGATACCATAATCGATAGTACAGATTTCTTTCGATCGTAAATGATAAATATAATTAAAAGTAGTTTTATCTTTAAAGAATGTGTAAAGGAACACATTAAGATATTTTAAAGACTGGTCTTTGCTTGAAAAACACAATCAAAATATTTTACCTTAACTTAAATTGATTTACAAACAGTTGAGATATCGAAAAAATCGACATCATCTCCTATATATCGATAATAATTTATTTCAATGATTTGCCACCTCAAATGCTTAATTAAGTAAAATACCTGCACAGTAATTATGTCTTAGAGTTTAATGAGATCTGTTTGATTGTTATACTTAGAGTTTAGATTGTATTTGGTTTTTTGGTTTGATTTTTGGCCGGCACAGGTTTGTAGCAATTTGCGTACTCAAACAACAAACTTTTGTAGTAGGTTGAAGTAGTAGAGGTTGGTTAAATACTTGGCTGGCTATAACTTCAAAATACGAGTATACAGTTTATACAGTTGAATATACAGATTCAATATATAGAATATCAGATATGAAGAGAGATATACTCTAGTTTTACTGTTTCTAATGTGTGTGATTTTCAGTGTTGTTCAACTCTATAGATTACAATCATTAATTCCTACGGATTTACGTGTGGTCTGTGTTTTATTTGTACAGCAAACTTTCCATTATTTTGTTTGGCTATGGTTTTTTTAATGAGCCTTTAATGCCATCGATTTATAACGTTGGGAAAAAGCTAACGAGAGGGGAGTGAACAAAGTTGCTAAGCTCTTCGAATGAAAAACTTTTTGATTTGTTTACAAATTATTAATATGCACGAATGAATGGCCAAAAATTGAAATTGATGCCAAATACCAGCTTCCGTAAGCCGCTGAATATGGCTGCTAATTATTGATTACAATTTACGACTTAAATATTGGGATGGTTACAATGTTCTCGGGATGAAAAATGTAAAACATGACTTTCGCTACTTAATTCAATGAGTTATTAAACTAACATCTACTTAAATTTAGTATCTAAAGCCCAATTCCCATTTAGTAACTAAGCTACAATATCTCTTAGAAAAAAAAACATGAAGTATGAGTTAACAACTTAAATTGGCGGTCTATTTGGGAATTTAAATAAAATAAGCATATTAAATATTTTGTTCTATACAGATATATGTTTCTTCTAATGTGGTCAATTTTGTTTCATAAAAAATCTATTAAAATTTAATCTAAATAACCGGATTGAATTAAAACAAGATTAAGTATAATGTAGGGAGAACCCAAGTTCTAGATCTAACTTGATGAAAAAGGCCTAATGATTTTATTGGGGTTTGTATTGGATGTACTGCATTCTATTTATGTTCAAATACCTTAGGAAAATGTTTTACTCTAAACTCTAAATATACCTGTACTGTGTACGCTTAATGCAATTAATTTACCAAACAATTCCGCTAAAAAACTTTAATTGATCTCATTTAATGTCATTATTTGGGGGTTCATATCTCAACTGCTAAAGGAAGATTAAAGAGAAGGATTATTTATTTTATGACTTTCAGCTTCATAAAAATGAACTAATGAATGCCATTAATAAATGCATTTATTCTCAATTAATATGGAAATGTATACTAAAAAAAATGTTTTACTCTATTAATTAAACTACCTCTATGCAAAGTAAGACAAAAACAAGATAAGAAATCTAAAAGAATGTTTTGAGGTTTACTAAAAAATATGTTTCTGTCTATATAGTCGGTTATATAGAGATATTATGTGTGGTTTTTGGTATACGACAAACGGTTATACAAAGAGAGTTTTTGGAACAACACTACGAACTAGAGGTTGGGGATTGGTTTTGGGTTTATCGGATAGGTGGTTTTAGGCGGGAATTCAAATAAATAAGAGATAAGAAAAATTACAAAAATTGCACACCCTGCGGCGTGAGAAGATAATTATATGTAGCGCCTCATTTAGTTAAAAATACTGGCTGAGAATATAACTTCTCAGGAAGTGGTAACCCAATTTTTATGTAGGCTTTGTATTAATGCTCAGAAAAGTGTGACCAACGTTTAATTTAAAACATACACGAAGTAAAATAAATATAAATATAGGTCCTAACACTATTTGAAGATTAAAAATAATCTAAAACATCAAGTTATATAATAAGTGGTATTATTTTTTACATTTTTTGTGAGCATAAATACTGGGCCTTAACCAAAAACTAATTTTAGCCTTGAGAAAACTAAAAAAAATAAAGTTCTGAGGCAGCTTTGGGGTCAGTATACAGTAAACGAAATGCACAAATGACTGGGAAACGGTTCGGGGGATAAAGGGTATAGTTTTTGGAGTTTCGAGATGGGATCTTTGGGTTTGTTTTCTGGATAGGATGGGGACTTTTTGCGGTGTGTGGGGGGTGAGTATTACTTGCATGCAAACAAACGTACAATGGCCGGCCTATGAAGCACCCAGATACCCACTTTGGCCATCTGAGCTTGCACGCCCTTCCCCTGCAATCCTTTTACGGCGCACTCGGCGAAGGCTGGCTGCTCGAAGTCGACGAAGCCGTAACCTGCAAAAAAGCATATTTTGTTTTTGTTTTTCGTTGTTGTTTTTGTTTTTGTTTTTTTATTTTTTGTTGTTTGTTTTTGTGTGTTGCGGGTGGGGGGGAATTTTATTTTTATTTTTTTTAATTGCATGTATAAATATATATATAAATATATTTGCAGAGACAGATACAGAGAGATAGAGAGAGAGGAAGAGATGTTTATTTATAGTCCAATATTTGGTTTGGCACACAAATCGAAAATTGAAATTGAATTCAATCAAGAACCGAAAAAAATAATGGGAATTTTCGCATTGGGTCACGTGCAACAAAAACAAAATCGAACAAAAACAAAATATTCGTTCAACAAGAAAAGAGGAGTAGAAGAAAAAAAACGGGTGAAAATTAAATTAATAATTAATTTGATTTAACTTAAATGCTAAAAAAACAGAAACTCTTCACAGAAAAAAAAGAAGAATAAATCCAAACGCAAGTAAAAAACGTACTCAATAAAAATATATTTATATCGATACACGCACACACATTGATAGAGAGCAGTCTTTCATAAGATACACTATTTTTACAGCTTGTTCAGTTATCGGGGTATTTACATAATATCGTAATCGTTATTATTAGCATTAGTTGAGTGCATCAGTAGCAGTAGATAGTATTTGTAATATTAGAGTGAAATGCATGAATGACACGATTGCGAAATGATAAACTGAAAAACTCAAAGGTAGTAGAAGGAAATTAGGAATAAACTGCTAAATGCCAATAATGTATTTCAAAATTTAAATTTAAAAAAATCAAATAATTAAGTAATGAAATGATATGAATATTACCACTTAACGAACGAGCAAAAAATTGTGATCATATTTAATAAAGAAAAACAAATGTTGAGTGTTCTTTGAAATTTTCAAGTTAAAAGAAACAAATAGATAACGGATTAGATTAATACATAGAAATGACGAGTTTAAAGAATTAAATGAACTACTTTAAAACTAATTATAATATTTTTCAAAGAGCACTCAGCATTTCAAAATAGTAAAGAACAAAATTTACTTGAAAAATCAATGAAATTTCAGTTTTTGGTTTGTTTACATTTTCTTTTCTTGCGTTTCTTTTGGATATCTTTTTTTTTACATAAACACATACTAATAATACTTATACAAAAACACACATAAATAAAATAATGATGAGAATGGTGAAGAAAAAAATACCTTTACATTTGTTTGTTGTTTTATCTAAAATAGCCTTGGTTGATATAATTGTTCCGTATCTGAAAGTTGTAAACAAGAAGAGACACACAGGTGGGTTAAATAGTATCCGCATTAAATGGTTTAATCGTTGCATGACAACGACTGCAAAGAATGGATAATGGATAATCAGATTATAAACACATTCAGGTCTCTCAGGGTGTCGTTTTGTGCGTGTGTCTGGTGCCACGTGCCATAATATATATATACACTCTACAATCAAATTAAGGAATGGGTAGTTTTTTTGAAGGGTTAGGGGTTGAGAATACCTGGTTCTGATTGGACCCCGTTTACCTTACCGCAGGCAATTAAAGTGTCATTAAAATGCAATTTTTATGCTCGTGCGCGCCAAAGTAGGCAATGGAAATTTTCACAACCCTTTAGCTATCTTTTCCCCATTTTCCCAGGGCGTTACATTGCTCATTTATGCCTGGTAATAATTGCCTTAGTTCAAGTGTAATGCCCCTCTCTCTGTCTGCCGTGTGAAATTAAATCGATAACTTCTTAGTTACACTACTCTTTCCTAACCCCTCACCCGCCCTGCCATTCCCACCACCCCATAAATACTTAGTTATAATAACATTAAAGACCCGCTCCCCCATTTTTGCCCTCTAATAAGCCGCTTATTTTGATTGCCTGCAGCAGGAGAAAAGGACGCTGTGCGGTAAAAAAAAAAAAAGAAAGAAAATAAATTAACCTTCAATTTAATTACTTGACTTACAACCGCAGGGGGATTGGGTTTCCTCCTGCTTTTTTATGTTCGTGCGACGCCACAAATAAGTTATTTTTTATGCATAAAAGAAATGGTCAACAGTGCGTATGCGTATTACGCACATAATAATACGTTTAAGTTTGTTGGTACACACGAAACCACGACGAAAACGATTTCCTTTTTTTTTTGGATAACCGAAAAACAAAATTTTTGTTGATAAAGCGTGCGCACTAATTAGTGGATTTTGTTTAGTTTTGCAAAAACTTGGCCTCGTCGTCCATCAAAAAGGTCAGGGGTTAGTTGCTTTTTTTGGGGGTTACTTTTCGTTCGACGGATAAAGGATGCGGGGGGTGGCTTTATGGAAACGCAGCCAAGCGGAATGGACTGAGGCTAAGCCGCTCATTAGCAGAGGGGTTGGGGGTGGTTGTGGGGCGGATAGGACGGATGGAAATGGATTTCGGGTTCCGTTCCGTTTCAAAAACACAAACCACATCACTTCACTCCACTCCACCTCTCAGTGGGGGCAAATCAATAGTCGGTCACACACATTTCGAATTAGTTCATTTCGTATGCCTGATGTGGCACCAAAGATACAAGCGTATCTGTAAGATACACAGGAACATACAAGAAAGAATTGAATACATTTTCTCTCGACCAATGTATACAACATCGGAAAATTGCCACAAGTATTTGGGATGGCATACCATATCCTTAGAGTTTTAAAAAGAAAGCGGAAAATACTTCGAGATATTAAGTTTATATCAATGTTTTTATGTAAATTATAATTCGGATAAGACAGTTTTTTATCAGGATCATAAAAGGCATAAGTACGAAATTGCTTCTTATTTATGATATATTAATAGAGATAGTTTGTTTAAGCAATCTTTATAAGTTTATGCAATATATTCCATAAAAATATAACGTTTTTTAATGACATTTTCTATAGTACTTAATAAATACATCAAGATACCCCATAAATAACTAGCAATTCATTTCTCCTACAGGCCGTTATTAACGTTCAATTAAAATTGATGAAGATGCTTCTAGCTCAAAGGCATCATCATTGCTTCGGTTCCTCAAAGGCATATACATTTATAGGAAATATATGTATATGTAGTTATATATATTCCGGCCCAGTGAAAGCCCGGAGCAGCAAAAACAATTAAAATGAATTTGCATAATGGCATGCCCAGGGAGCTGTGTTAGATGATGGTAATGCAATTTAATGTGATAGGTGGACCGCAGAGACAAGATACAAAACCGCAGGGCACGCACACGCACAAATCACTGAGAGGCCTGATTGCATCCATATCTGAAATCTGAATCTGATTTAAATGGCATTCAAAGGGTTTGGGAATCTATTATTTATATAGTTCTCCCTAGTTTTTTTGTGGCTCATGTCCTGATGGCAGGTGGTACTCACTGTGCACACATATTAACTAGATCCTTGTCGGTTGTGCCCTGCTGCAGTCCGCGAATGTAGAGATTTGTCTTGGACAACTGCTCGCCGCCCTGTTGGTTTTGATTCTGTACCGTGCCGTTGGGACCCATGTTCGTGTTGGTGTTCGTCGTGTTGCTCAGGCTGGTGCTCAGCGTGCCGCTCTGGGAGCCGGTGTTCGAGGAGCTGCTCGAGTTGGTGTTGCTCGGTGAGGCTGCCGTCGGCACTCGCTGACCGTACTGAAAGAAATAGAGAAGATGTGGCTATAGTACGTGGAAAGATATCTCGATTTTAAGATCATATAAAAAAAAATATTACAAGCAAAAGTAATATTATATTTCAAAATAAATCAATATTTTAAATAAGTGAGTATAACATAAGCTGTGCTTTAGGTTATTTCGATAAGCTATGGAATCGATCGAAAAAAAATCATAGGCTCGAATCGTTGAATCAAATCATAGGCTCGAATCATAGGCTCTTATCACAGAATTTAATCATAGGCTCAAATCATATGCTCGAATCATGGGTTTGAATCATAAGATACAGTTATAATCTCGAATCATGGGCTCCAGTCATAGGTTCGGCTCGAATCGTAGGATCAAATCATAGGCTCGATTCATAATCTCGAATCGTAGGATCAAATCATAGGCTCGATTCATAAGCTCGAATCATAGGATCAAATCATAATCTCGAATCGTAGAATCAAATCATAGGCTCCATTTATAAGCTCGAATCTTAGGTTCGAATCATAGGATCAAATCATAGGCTCGAATCATTGGCTTGATACATAGGCACGAACCAAAGAGGAAATTGGTTTCGCAGTTCCTGTATTTTGGTATATTCTTTAACGTTCTGAACTTTAGAATCTTAAGTATTTTTTTCAACAACTTGGAAAACCAATTGTATTGTAAACAAATGTTCATAATATCATACAAAAAACATCAACATAAGTTGATATATCACTTACTATGTTTATGCTATGAATATCATGCATTCTCCAGAACATAAAATAATAATAGCCCCTGTTTATGCAACACAGACAAATTCATGAAATGGTATTAGTAAAGCTGTCAAATCTTTTGAATTTGATATAGAGCTGTATAGAGTAGTAGGCTGTGAAGTAGGCTGTGCCTCAGCATTTCGTAAATTGGGACTGAATTCATAGTCAACTTTCGTGTGTTATCGAATTCATGAAACGGTGTTTATGCACACACGAATTTGCTCATTTCATGAATTTATTTCATGAAATAGGCATAGCATAAACACAGTAACTGATGCTCAACCATTTGTGTGGAAACCAAATGATAAGCGGTCAAAGGACTCCATTCTCATCCCCTACGGAACCACAACTGTAGGCAATATTAAAATGTATAGTGCAAAAGTATGTCGATAATATTAAGCGATTTGGCTCCCACAATCCATAGATCCATAGATTGAGAGAGGAAGAGCGACAACTGGAGGCAGTGCAAGTATTTTTATTGAAATTCCAACTGGAATAGCTGCCATTCGAAGTTATTGAATGCTGCTTGGCTCACACAATGGATAGAGATGGGCATAGCTCTATAGATAGAGACCGAAATGGAGGTGGGGAGATAGATAGAAAGAGAAGGAGGTATACAGAGGTAGTAGTTGCAGGGGAATGAAAGGGACGGGCACATTGGCATGTTGACGACAGCCATGACGATGGCGTTTTTCACTTAAAATGCCACACATGTGCCAGAGGGACACGAATAAAGAAGAAGGATACGACGAAGCTCGAGCTTTGCATATAAGGCTGCAGGATATTTGGCAGCTGCACTCGTCGAAGGCGTTGAAAATCTATAAAATTTGTATGCAACAAACAATGGCTCCACACTTCGCATACCCCCGTAAAAGAACAACAAACTTTGCCATTGATACATTTTTGAAAATTTGCCAAAAACATTATTTTATTCGCACAGCAGCAGCCCATCAGCGGGAAATGCTAAAATATGCAACCAGAAAAAAGTTCCACTGCAAATACCAAAAAAATTTCCCAAATGAAAATCAAGCGAAAATATTTTTTGTTGGGGTTTTTCTTTTGTTTCAGGAGCGAAAAAAAAGAACGATTTTTGATGGCTTTGAAAACTTTTTACCCAGCCGCAAAATCCATTTGCATAAAAACCACTGACTTTGGGGGGGGTTAGGTTTAAATAAAAAGTTTTCGCTAATTGATCCGTGTCATGGCTAATACTTCCGTAGGTCACAATTTGATTTGTAAAAAAGTGTAAATCCACAGAGGCGACTAAAATCAATTCGGAGTCGACAAATAAAATAAAAATTGGGATTTGTTTGTATCAAAAATATATTATTTTTGCCGTTTTCTGGAAAATAGTATTCAGTTTGTGTTGTTTTTGAATGTTATTTAAAGGCTGTTACATACATTTTTTATAAAGTTATGATTAATATTTAAGAAAAAATTTAGATTCACTACTCGTATACTTGGTATTCTAAGAAATCCTGTGTTTAGCTGATAAAATGTACACCCCATCATGTGTTTCTTTCTGTACATTTTTGGGGAATTTATAAAGAGATGTGAAAGTCACGCTTCGGCCAGCAGGCAACTAACACAAATCATAAACTCAGCTCTTTCGCTATCTCTCTGGGCCAAGTCTAAAATAAACTTAGACTCCCCAAACTCGTTAAGTTACTCCGCACAGTCGTCGGGCATCTAGAAGATACATTTTGTACAGTATTCTCTACGAAATTGCTTCCTTTCTTCTCTCTCGTATGCAAAACATAATTAAATAATAAATTCAGCCAGCAATTTTTGTAGTCAGCAATTGTTTATCTGTCTACATGTGAGTGTGCGAAAATACTTAAGCCAACACTCATACGCCCTGTGTGCCAATGATCATTTGCAAAAAATTTCACGCTGCGAAATCTGTGAGGTTTTTCGCTTTTTAATAAGTTATCTGGTCCCCCGTTTTGCCAGCTCTTTCGCTAGCTATTTTTCTACATGTTTCTCATGCTTTCCTCTTGATTTTTGTGGCCCACACGTGTCTGATGTCTGAGACTTTGGCCAACTGTATTCGGAATGTTTGGGCAGCAAAAGGTTTATGCACATTAGCACGGTAGTTGGGATATGTTAACCTTTTTGCCGCTCCGCCTGTGTTATTTATGCGCATTTAATTTGTTTACTTATTTATTGCATTTGCACGAATGCGAGGAAGCGACAGCGAAACAAACTAAAAATACAATTTAATGGCATAAGCTAAACTTTTTGATTGCCCCGCCCGATGGCAGCGATGGGACTCAAATGAAAAGAAATGATGTCGTCGTCGATTCGATTCGATGACGATGACGATGGCAGAACACGCAATTGTTAATGGCCTGAACTTATGACTGTTCGTTTGTTCTCCCATTTGGTTTTCACTAGATTAGACAAAGGTTTCGATGGAATGGGGATGGATCTATAGGGTAGAGGCGGCTCAACCTTGAGAAAGGGTCAGGAGGTAAGTAATGAATTTTATAGGGGATGTTTAAAGATTGGCGGAATTGACCCTTATAAATCGATTATTAGGATGGACAGCAGACACTTTTAATTTAAGTCCTAATAGAACAATAATCAAGAACAAATCTATGCGGAAACCATAAATCAAGAAGAAATCTATCCGGAAACCATAAATCAAGAAGTATTTTATCAAGAAATAATATATTAAGAAATATTATATTAGGAAATATTATTTCAAGAAATATTATATCAAGAACTAATTACTCTTGAAATATTATACCAAGAAAAAGTTACTTTTGAAATATTAATTCAAGACATATTACGTGAAAAGATACTACCAATAAATAGAATTTACTCTTAAAAATTGTTATAAGCAAAGCCAAAACCCAGTAAAAAATAAAGTAATTAAAAAAACACTTAGAAACACTTTAAACAAGTGACATTTTCTGTGATTAATGCCCCACCAATTTCAATCACGAACATCAGCTCCACGCTAACATCTCCATTAAGAAACCATCAGCAATTATTACCCACAAAACCACCGAGAAAGTCAAAAACCGAAAGATCTTTAAGATCCGCTTGAAAGAGTCACGTGCCAGAAGTGTGAAATACCAAATGGACTTTTGTTTGATTTATGATGTCTTCACGACATGAGCGCCACACATAAAACATATAATTCACTTAAGCCGACCAAAGACGCATACGAAATGGAGTGCACTTATTTTCAGTCACTAAATCAGTTGGCGCATAAATCCACTCCGTCATGATTAGTGACAGATATTATTTGTCCAAGTGCTTGCCAGCTTGTCAAATTTGGTTAGCATATGTAGGTTGAAATCCAGCCAAAAAATAAAAACCCCAAAGTCCCCGGAAATATGTATAGAACTCTATGGAAGCAAACCACTCTGGGCCATTGACCCATTGTGAAATGAGGAATTATGGGGAGTCAAATTAGAGCTGGCTGCGTGTCCGCTTACGATTCGAGACTTTTATATTACTTGAGCGGATTTCGTTCTCGAAAAACCCCTTTGGGAGGAGGGTTGCAAAACTCATCAAATCAAGGAAGTCAAATCCAGCATTTCCTCTGATTGGGGAGGGTTTTCCCCCAAAAGCTTTGCTCATAAAAAATGCCTCTCACGTGACTTATATAAATTAAATGCGTTTTGTGCTCTCAACTGTGGAAGCTGGCATGAAAATGATAGACGGCTAGATGGATTCATTTGCTGCCAGAAAGGAAATGTTAGGCGTCAGATAACAGTCAGCAGAAACCACCCGGAAAAATGTGGGGTTGAATGGGGGTTTTCCCTCCCCAATAATCGAAGCAAGTCATGGTTTCATGGGGGGGGTTAAAGGCAGTTTTTGCCTGTGCAAATATTTGACATGCCAGTGCCAAAGAATTTCGAATTATCTGCAGGTGGAATTTTACTCGCAAAAAAGTATTTATGAATTTTTTCTTTTCCATCAAAAAAAGGAGGAAAAAAAAAAACGAAAGCGCTTTATCAGCCATAATTCCTTGGTGACAAAGAATTTTCAATTTCAAATTATAGGCAGTACTTTTTTCTAGCAGGTCAACGACACATTTCCATAATAATTATGATTTATAAGTTCTTTGTTCTTTTGTCTTGGGGCAGAGCAGAAAAAGTTGATTAAACCCAACCTTCTAACCAAAATAAAGTTGTATAATTTATCTGGCCCCGAAAAGAGTTGCCAACAAACTTTTATAATCATCGTGATAAGACTGTAATTGCTTCGTGGATGAATCTAATC